ATAAACAATAAAATTTTTATTTCAAATAAAAATGCAAAATTAAATTGGTTTTTATTAGATTACGGCAAAGCACTCGAGAGCTATCTGCCTTAAGGGAGGGATGCCTTCGTGGAGGCCTTTATAAGGGAAACTGGCTCGTATACACGTTACACATGAGGAAAATCACGAAAACGTCCATGCAACCAGCCCGTTCGTAGGATTCGAACCTCGGACCGAACTACCAGTGATCAGCGACGTTACCGCTCGGCCGCTGGTCGGCCCAAAATTGAATTGATTTTTAATATTTAGAAGCCATAAATAATATTTAAAACACTGAATTTATGCATAATAAAACGCATTATTTTTTTAATAAAATGACAACAAAGTATCGGTTATAATAAATAACTTGTCTAGCAATGGGTTTACCATAAGTCGTGTCGCCAAAATCCGTGCAACCGTCTACCAAAGTAGCACGCAATTAATTCAACGTAGTTGGCCCTTAGTTTTAAACTAGCCGGCAAACTATCAAAAGACACGTAATATACAGCCGAGCGTATCAGCAGTTAGAGAGACTTAGCTCAAGGAGCAGCCCAGGATTCCTAGCTCTCTCTCTTTACGAAGTAAGTTGAACTTTCTTTTAATACCAATTTTTACTTATTTGCATTCAAAGCGATTCTAAAAACTCATTCTGCTAGGGAGTTGTAAGTTGAAACGAAGAACGATAGGAAAGGTTAACCAAATTAAAATATCTGTTATAAAATTAAAATATACCTTACAAGGTAATGATATTAAATAATAATAATAGTACATTAAGTGAGGAAATAACAAACACTAAAGCTCTTCAGACACCGAAATCTGAAGGTGCACCTATATTAGCAACACATTCACTACCTCTAAGAAACTAAAGTTGTAACTGGAGCTCGAAACCAAGCGCTGGTGTATAAAACATTGAAGATTCTAAAACGAACATTCAAAAATAAATTATGTTAAACTGTATGGTTAAAATTACGGCAGAAAATTTTTAGGTAAAATTAAGTCAAATTAAATTATCTAGATGGTCAGTTATAGTAAAAAATATACATTACGTTTTCCAATTAAATGAACTGAAAGTGATAAGGAAATATCTGAATACGCAGACAATTATGAAGGCTGAAATGCTGTCTAGACTAAAGTGACCACACGTCCCGATTTTGGCGGGACAGTCCCGCTTTTGGGAGGACTGTCCCGCGTCCCGCCAATTTTTAAAAATGTCCCGCTTTTTATTGGGTGGCCTTAAAAAAGGAAATTTTATGGGAATATGTGTAAAAATCTCTTTAATATATTGGTAACCATTTTTCGAAAAATAATATTTGTGAAAATGATCTTTTTGATGAGCTGTCATTGGTAAAAAGATACGTTACTGATGAAAAAAATTAAATGTTGGTTGTCTGCAAATATGGAAACATACAAAAACGGAACGGAGTTACTCCTTCATTTTAAACAGAATAATATTCCCTATGAAAATATTTTGAAAATTGTACAACACGCGCTTTCCCTTCCAGGAACAAATGCAGCAACAGAGCGTGTTTTTTCTAGCATCAATAAAATATGGACAATTGAAAAAAACATTAATTGAACATTAAAAAACTTTAAAATCTGTATAAGCGTAAATTATAATTTGACCAATTCATGTGCGAAATTTCACAGCATTTTAATAAATGATCCGAATCTATTGCAAGGTATTCACTCAGATATAAAATATGAGCGTGAAAGAAAATCATAATTTTTTTAAATAAAATTTTTAATTAATTAAAAAAACATAATATTCAAATTATTGTTTTTTTACAAATATTTTTATAGTTACCAATAGTTAATAATAAATATGGCACTTCAAACTTTTGAAATTAAGCCCTGAATAAAGGTCATGTATATAGTCAGAAAATATAAGAAATAAATTGGACATTAATGAAAAGAAAGGTCTATGTAAAATGAATAAAACAATAAAATTACTGAAGTTAAGTGTTAAGATAACGGAAAATAAGTAAGTTTTTATGAATGCGATAATGAAATGTGCAAGGCTTGCCTGCACAATGAACAAAAAGTATAAGAAATAAGTTATAATTAAGAGTATATAAGAAACTAGAAAAAATGCAAAGGAACGGAAAAAATTTAAAAAAAAAAAAAAAAAAAAAAAAAAAAATTACATCTACAATTTTTTTTAAAAAAAGTAAAGGTCATGCGGATGAGCATTGAATGTCGGAAATAAGTGCGGAAATCTCTGAGGTTTCCATATGGATATAGAATCATGGAGTATCTTGGAATTCGAAGAAAAACACAAAGCCTCAAAATTCTATAATTTAAATTTATTTAAAAGTATTTATATAAGCTTCCACTGAAAAATAGATAAGAGAGATAATCTCTTTTCAAATTGCGGAGCTTAACTGCAATCCACCTATGGGTCTGCACTGCTTGTGAGTCTGAGACTCTGACGTAGAACTCTTTGTTTCATACTACTGTTTTATTGAAAAAGCCATTTCATACGGTCATTTTCTTCAGCTCAGCAACAGAAAATTGATCTTTTTTATTACAGCCATTTAAATATATCAACACCTGATCAAGTCTTATCACGTTTTCTGCTTATCATGAGCTGTTGTTTGAACAATTTTCTTCATTTTTTCTCCTTTCCGCAATATGCTGTGCTCTCCCCAAAAAATTTGAAAGTCTTCAGATTTTAAATTATGCACAAAGGGGCGTTTTTTTAATGTTTGCGTGCCACATTTTTTTATATCATATTCTTCGCACTTAAACCATAAAATTAAATTCAACGGCAATATCGCAAAATAATTCTTAACTGAGCATATCTTTAGAATTTCCAATACACAGTCTCGCGCGCTTAGATGCACGCGAATTAACTATCTTAGATAAAAATGTTCCCCCCCCCCGTTTGCAGTGTTGTCATTGCTCGCTTTGAAATCGTTGAGTTTGTTCATCAGAAATTCGTTAAAGTGTTACAAAATAGGAAATAGATAATAAAACAAATTTCAAATTCGGGCTTACAGATGCCCATATGCAGCGGAAGATAACGATATTCAAAATTGGATGGCTCAACGTACCGTTGTTTTATCACAATGCGAGAAACATACATACATTTATGCAGATTCTTCATTATTTAATTTCTTTAAATACAACACAGAGTTCTAATAAATAAATATAACACAGGGTGGCAACAATTTGAAAAGTGAACCGTCATTTACAATGAGCCAACGCAAAATGTCAAAACGAAATCAATAGCTATTCTGGGCTAACGTCTTTGGGGAGAAAAAAAAAAAAAAAAACTCTAAGTTTAAATTTCTTTTTTAACTTCAAATTTCTTTTTTTTTTTTTTCGCCAAGTGACATTGCCATTTACAGTGTAATGGATCTATGAGTTGGTTGATTTTCTTTCATTTTCTTCGTTTTACACACGTTTGAACAGGATGCAGTTTCGAGGGCATTTTTTCATTCTTACTTTCAGCTAAAGGCCTTTTTCCCTTTAAAATTCAATATATTAAAAATCATTTTCCTTGAAATACAATAACTACTATTTTTATACGAGTATTTTCCTTCGGAAAGTGCATTTATGTAATTTTTGAACCGTCTATCAATTTTAGGAACCATTTTCAAAATAAATCTCTTTTCCTGCGTTCCAAACAAACAACAGTAGAGATTAGATTGAAACAAAACCGTAGCAGATGATTTTACATTGAAAATGCAATATCTTTATCTCAAAATACCAAGGAGAAAATTTAAATGGAAATTTATTTCCGTAAAGTGCGAAGAACCAACTGTATTTTCATATCATTTATCAAAATATCTACTATAATATTCCACTTTATTTAGAGTCATATAGTTGAATCAATACAGTGTGGAAAACACTGCTGGAAAAACAGTCCAAATTATCAAATCAGCCCTGGCTGGCTTTAAATACTCCACGTTTACTATACGTTCTTTCCCCTTTTCGCGAATTATTGCCCTCAGTGCGCTGTTTTCCTGTTCGCCACATCAAAAGCAATTTCTCAAGAGCTCCAATTTCTCAATGTCTCTTCTTTTTGTTTCGTAACAGATTTAATCCCATTCGCATCATCACCAATTTATTAGCATCTTAATTTTACAAGCGGTAGCCAGTTTTTAACGATTTCTTTCTTTACCTTCATGGTGATCCGATTTTACCTGACTTCTTTGCTTAATTTTTCTCATTAACGTTCTTAAAACTTATTGATGAATTTATAAAACATTTACCCCCCAAAACACAAAATTACAGGGAAATTCAGAGTTATAGCGCTGGTTATTTTACTGAAAGTAGCTATCTACTGAATGTTTACGTGGTTTACGCAGACTGTTCACTGAATGAACTCTTTCTTGTTACCAACATTCGCCAAAAATAAAAAAAAGATGAAATCCTTACTTGAATATACTATTCACAGCCGTAGCTAAGGTTTTTATCGCCCGGAGAAAACTGAAAGTTTTGCTCCCCTTTCTGTGTGCCAGTGGAAGAATGGAAACATTTCATTCTAAAATTTCGTTAAATCAATTTGGTGCCACCTGGATGCTACACCCTGGAACAGCTATTCCCCTTTGCCCCACTCTAACGAAGGAATATGTATTGTACATAGACGTTCTCTTTGCCCTAGCTACAGCTACGCCACTGATACTATCCCTGTTGCTATAGTGACAACCACCACCTAGAAGATGTCGCCAAGGGTAGTTCTTATGGTACGGCTGTAGCATTGTCTCAAAAGAAGGAACTGTAGCATATGGACGGAATGTGGCACTGTTTCAAAAGAAGTAAACTAGGATATAGAATGCCATCGTAGTTCATAGAAATCAAGTCATATTCCAAAAAAGATGTAATACACCTAAAAACTTTTTTGCATCTGAACAGTATATATACCAAGTTTGACTTATAAGTAAAGCGGACCTATACTGAGGTACTACTGTACAAAGTTATTAAATTTAATTATTATACGTATACACGTGAATATATTTTATAAATTCTTCTTTCAGGTAACTGAATACATGCGGCAATTCATTTTTACAGATGTATCTATCAATGCTATCAAAAGACTTTTCCAAAGAGAATTGGATGATGGTCTCAGAAAGTCAGATGGATCTGAACCACAAGAACAGTCGGAAATGACTATGAAAATTACATTTTTTACAGAAATTTTTAACGGCACAGGTGAGCTTGTTTCCAAATTCATATAAATCGTATATTAGTATGAAGTGCGATAATGAGGCATATGATTGCTCGTATATTGATTCCGTACGCCAGACCTCCTTATTCAAACTGTATTTTAAAGATGTGTCATTTTCCAACAACGAAGATAATAGTATAGCTTGAAACCATTTTGATTTAGTTACATTTTATTTTACAGCAAGATCTGCCCAATTATAATTAAAGTTGTTCCTGTATTTGCAATGCTGTGGGCATTAAATTACGCAGAACGCCTCTGTAATCCTCGTGAGATGTTCTCGTTTGAGCAAATTACTATTAAAATTTATATTACTTTTTATAAACTGAAATTAATTAATACAAAATATTTCTAAATTAGGATTAAAATATTCTATACAAGTTTAAAATAATAATAATAAAAAAATTACTTCTCTTAGCGTGATATTTAAGCACACTGGATATTATTACATTTTTGTACTACCATCCGTGGGATTATGACTGAACGCCTTTAAGTCATAAACGCACCTAATCATTGCAACGATACCGTTTGTGTTTTGCACGTCGATTGGCTAATTTAGTCGAAGCGTACATACGGCTGGCATTAGCTGCATGCATCAGCTACAGATACAGAACACTTTGTTGTTGGTTTTGCAAACAGCTGGCCACTTGCCAATTGATGCATTCATCGGTAATGGCTAATACTCATCAGTCATCCAAAGATCTTCCAAACCTCTTTCCTTGGCACTAACCCTCTCGAGAACTTTTGACTGGCCAGTATTTTTAAGCACCAATGACACGCAGACACTATATACTTGTACTTACAAACATCCAAGCCTTGTTTCGAGCCTGGACCGAGTTTTGAACCGAGTTTTGTTAGCTAATCAGGGCGATTGATATAGAACATGAAATTACGTATTTAAAACGAGCTGTTAAAAAATACACTTGTCAAAAGTAAAATCTCTGTACCAAAAAGAACTGCACATAGCCACGTTGAATGTTTAGGACAAGCAGAAGTGTGGAATGTATTAAACGATTCAAAGAGAGATATAAAGCATGTTAACAATACATTTTGTTTACTTAGCATCTAGTGTAGCTTTCACAGGCAGCAATACAGGTTCTAAACGACAAAGCATATAGCAAATGAGTTAAAAAATGGTTGCCTGTGGTATATGTTGCTAAGCTGTATCATCAACGGCAAGTAAATTGGTCAGGGTAGTTTGCATTATTCTCCAGTTCATCTACATTCAAAGAGGTCCAATATTTGTCCTATGGAAGCTAGACCCAACGAGGCTGATGGTCAAAAAAGAATGTCTTCAGCAAATTGCCAATTGATGTGATGAGAGTTTAATGTGTTAAATGACATACTGCTAGGCATTTTGTTTTTCTGAAAAGTCGTGGTGGATGTTACTTGCACCACTAGCAGAATCTCAAATTCGACAATCCATGTTATAGATTAGTTTGCTGATAAATATTAATGTATTACGCTAGTATCTGTATGTCTAACGCCATAACTATGCGAAATTATTCTTCATGTTAAAGATTTTTTGTGGTAACAGTGATATAATTTAATTTACGGCAAAAATTTCTGTTTTTGAAAGACAAAAAAATTTAAATAGTGAAATTAATAATACTTTCGTCGATCGGTTAAAAAAAGATAAGCTATGATCATGAAGTTTGCACATTCATAACATTGGTAAGCAAGCGTAAACCAGCATGTATATAAAATTAAGATTCCTTTTATTGTATATGATTTTACTTTTTCTCGGGAAAAAGCAGTTTTTAAATGAAATCATCTACTGTTAAAGATTATAGCCATCCCCTCCAAACAAAACAAAACAAAAACACACACACTGAAGGGGGGAAAAAAATGATATTTTATATTACGCTCAAAAGGAGCTTTTATTTAAAAAAAAAAAAAAAAAAAAAAAAAACCTTTTGTGTGTTACATTTATTTATTAAATAACATATTCTTTGCACTTAAACCATAAAATTCTATTCAACAGCAATATCGCAATATAATTTAAAAAGAGCATACCTTTAGAATTTCCGATACAGTATCGCGCACTGGAGATAAAAATGTTCTTTTTTCCCCTACAGTGTTGCCATTGCTCGCTTTGAAATCGTTGAGCTTGCGAATCAAAAATTCGTTAAAGTTTTACAAAATATCAAATAGATAATAAAACAAATTCCAGATTTGGGGGTTCCATATGCCTATATTTGGTTGGAGGATTACGTTATTCAAAATTTGATGGCTCTATGTACCGTTGTTTTATCACACTGCGAGAAACATACATTTATGCAGATTTTTCATAATTTTATTTAGTGCTTTGCCGTAATTAAATACACCACACCATAATTTTATTTCTTTAAATATAATACATGGCGAAAATGCTTGGTGCAATAATTTGAAAAGTGATACAGCCTTTTAAAGTTTTGAGCGCAAAATGTCAAAATGAAATTAATAGCCCTTCTGGGCTAACGCCTTTATGCTGCTAGTATAAATTACAGAAACAATATGATGCCATTTAACAAACACATTCATCCACTATTACTTACTCGAATAATTTTAATTTTAGGCATTACTCCAGATAGTTATAGTATTTTAACATGTTAAAAAAATTTGTTTAAATTAGAATTATATAATTTTAAGTTTAGATTTTTTCATTTGTTCACAATTAATTTTTCCTTTTCAGAGAGCGGGGATTTCGTTGTAATTGATTTAAATAGCCAACATCTCATTCTACTTTTAGCAAGAGTAAACCCTGGATTTCCAGTGAAGACTGTTAGCCAATACTTCTGGGTTAATGAAAATATTCGACGCTCTCCTTATATTATGGTAATTTTCAATATCTAAAGTCCGTAAATTCCGTAAATTCAATTAAGGAAGAAATGAAACAATTCCTGTTCTAAGATAAAGGTAGAATTTTAAAATGAAACATTTTTATTTTCTTTAAATGGCTCAAAAACGCATCTAAAATCGTAACGTGTATGAAATACCTTACTTAGAAAATAAAATATTAAAGATTAAAATATCCTAGCTAAAACAGAGTTCCTCGTAATCTAGAATACCGAAGAGCTATGCAGCGACTATTCTCTGAGTTCTTGTAGCCTTAGTAATCGGTCCAAAGAAGGGTTAAATCAAAGAATGTCTATGTACATACATATTCTTTGGGTTAAATTACCCTTTTTCATTCCAACTCAAAATGAATGTACAGATGACCTATCTCGGGCTTTAACTCAAAACAGAAAATATAAACTAATTCTAATATTAAATAAAGTTAATCAGCAGAAGATGCAAGGAATCAACTCGCGGAGTTGGCTCTTATTTAAAGATCACCAGTGTATACTAGTATACTAACGTAGAAGTACGGCCGTAGAATATCAAGCTTAAACTAATAGCAACAATGTGGCCTAAAGGCAGAACACGCTCTCCAACTGTAATCACAGATCATCATTCGTGTAAAAGGCATGCGGCCTGTTGAGGCCTTTACCAGTCTATATTTCTCAATCTCCTAATGGCATAAAGATGAGAAAAAATCCGAACAAGCGGAAAGTCTTAAAGCACTGGGTGCGGATCTCATAAGAGAAAGAAGTACGACGCCATCTGTTGACTACAATAATCTTCAGTATTACTACTAAGAACATATACAGTCAAATGTCGTTAATCCGGACTCGTCGGGAGTTCGGCGATTCTGGATTATCGATTTTTCCGGATTATAGATCATCAGTTTAAATCTGGTAAGATGGCATGCAGAAATTACAAAATTAAAAATATGAAACCGTAATTTATGAAATAAAGAACAAGAACAATTATGATCTAAAGGGTATCAAAAATTTACAAAAGAAAAAAGCTTAATATTTATTTGTTTACTTTATTAAACATTTCCTTCAATGTAAGTTGCTTCGTTTCATGTGATAATACTTTCTCTTTAATTCTGTTAAACAGACATAATTTCTTGTTTAGTTACAAAGTTCCGCTGTTCAAGTCCTATAATTGCTGTGTTGAGAATACAGACTAATTTCTCAATCGAAATGTTTTCGTTTTCAATAACCTCTGGGTCACTTTCTTCACTATCGGAAGCGAATTATAATGACGAGGAACTTGATTTAAATCATATCAAAGACGGAGTACATCGAGATGAAATACTACACTTAGTAAGGAATTATAAGCCAAATAAAATAAAAGCATCTGCCATGAAGATAAGGATAGTGCTGACAGATCAACTTCCAATTCGCGGCGTGAAATTGATAAACAGATTTCGGATTTCAAAACATACTTTCGCTTTGTAGATACAAATTACATATTAGTAAATATATATCGGAAATTCTATTTGACATAATCGAAAGTTCAAGCTTACTTTTATGAAATTGCTCTAACAGTCTACAAAAAAAATAATAAGATCCAATTTGAAGATTAAGGAACAACGCAATCTGCAACATTAACTGAATTAGATAATTTTAGCTTAGCGTATAACACCGTTCCACATTAAACACGCATGCGCACAAACATATTCGCAGCAGTAAAGGTCTTACGCGCTCTCGTAAACGCCTGTGAACGCGACGCATGCGCAGAAAGTTTGTAGCTTTGAGGTCCGGATTATAGATCATTCCAGATTATGGGTGTCCGAATTAACGACTTTTGACTGTAGTGAATTTGAGTTTTAGAAAGCAGTGCCTCCTTTTACTCTGTATCACGTGAAGAACATCAGTAAAACAAAAAGACGAAAGTAAAAATCAGGTGGCCGTCATCAGTCGACGAAAAAGGTGAGTGTCTGGTCGAAGGTCCAAATCAGTGAACTGAAGAATGTAGTATAAGTAAAAAATGTTAAGGATGGAGAATGTCAGATGGATATTTGTGCTTTTCTCTGGGAAATAGAGATCATCTAAGAGAGATGATGCAGTTGTTAGGATGAGTGAGAACTGAATAGAAGAAATTTCTGGCAAGTTTTTTAATATAATCTTGAATTGTATCTACTTTGAGATCACGGTGGATATACAAATTTAGAATGAACCATGGGGCGTTCATGTTCTCTCTGAGTGCTTTGTTTTGAAGAACTTGGATGTGTTGAAGGTGAGTTTTGGCAGCGTGGCCCCAGACAGGGGTCTAGCATAGAGTAATGCTGGTCGAAGTATAGATTTATATAAGAGGAGTTTATTAGGAACAGACATATGATTTCTTCTTCCAAGAAGTGGGCGCATAGTTGCAAGCGTGATATTGATTTTTTTCACAGTTTCCCTGAAATGTTTCTGAAAAGTCCATTTTTTTTAATCAAGAATGACTCCTGGATATTTAACTTCGTCAACCCAGTCAATTTCTTCGTCAAACAGAAGAGATCTAGGCGGAGTGAAATTTGTTTGGCCTTTGCGAAAAATTATTGCTTTTGATTTTTCAGTATTAACTGTAAACCTCCAAAGAGCCAATTTTTTTTTTTAGATGATTGAGGTAATGTTGAAGAAGAAGCTGGACATCAGTAACAGTAGAAGCTTGGGTCATTATTGCAGTATCATCAGCGAAAAGAGCAATGGTAATTTGTGGGTCCTTAGGAATATTGTAAATGTAAATGTTATATAAATATGGAGAAAGTAAGTATAGATCCTTGAGGCACTCGAGCGAATTTTTCTAGTGGAAGAAACAGCAATTTTCACTGCAAAAATTCTGTCTTGGAGATAGGAAGCAATAAGTCTAAGACAATGATCAGAGAAGTTTAACTTGATAAGTTATCTTCAGTAACGGCTTATCTTTGGAGTGACGTTCATGTGCCGCCATCTGATGCCATGGGATAAAAGACAAATTCTATTTGGCATAAATACAGTGAAGATCATAAAAATAAGTCGCAAAAAGAGAAACAATTTTGTACAGGTATACTTGCGTAAACAATTCTACCGAGACTCGAACTGGTCATGGAAAGTTTCCAATTGTTTGTCTTATCTACTGCGCCATAGAGTTGTCGCATACAGAATATAATACAGTACACTCCCGATTATCCGCGGATTTGGGTGGCGCGGCCGCCGCGGATAACAAAAATCTCGGATAATCCGAAAAAATCTAAAAACGGGTATTGCAAAAGAGAAAACAGTCATTTCAACTTTGAAAAATCGTTTTATGTACAATAAAACGTAAAATAAACGGCAGGAAATGTTTAACTAACGCTTAATATTTTAATACATCACTCAAAACTAACCTAAAATGCATTTTGTTAATGAAAACAGAAAAGTGCTTTTGTATACTTACGAGAGGCGTCAAGGATACACAGAAAAATTAATACATATGTACTGTTTTAATACTGTAATGTATTATGCAATTACAAAAGCATAACTGTAAAACTACACCTTTTTGAAAAAAATCAGTCATTTGTGTTTGCTTCTTGCTTTGGAAGCATTTTCTCTTGATCCGAGATTGCATTTTTCGTAGCATAAGTTTCTCGGCCAACTCCGCGTCGTCTTGTTCTTCCAAATAGCTCAGCAGTCCGTCGACTTGTTGCAAAGCCGCTTCGTGAGTCTTCCGCATCTGCACAGTGGGCTCTTCTTCGCCTTCACTTCGCTGTCCTTCATTCTCGGTCTCTCCCCTTGCTTTCTTCACAATTTCGTCATCTGTCAAGCGTTCGAAAGCCAGGTTCGTTGACGTCACACTCCAATCACTCGTTAATGTTTTCAGCATCGACGTTCTCACCACCCGGAACTGTTTTCACCATATCGGCAAGAGTCGCCGTGGGCGTGTCTACATCTTCATTCACTTCTTCAAAGGGGTTAGGTTGTTGTTGACTTCAACATTAGGCATGATTTTATGAGGGCTGTCCGAGTTCCATATGCATGTCGAGTTTTGTTTCACCGAGTTCCATATGCAGATGCAATATCGTAGATGCTGTTCAAGATTCTGTAGTGTTTTCCAAAACTCTTTCAGATCATAACCTTCTTCAATTTTGGTCATTAGCAGCTTGGTTCGGTATTGAATTAGCGCAGTAACGTTTGGGGAGAGAAACTTTGCAAAAATTTGCCCATCAGAAGACTTTAGCACGCTTGTTGATGGGTGAGAAGGTGCACAGCTTTTTCAGGCATGTTTTTCGATTTAAGATGTTTATGCACTTGAAGAACAAAGATTTTTTTCGAACCATTCTTAAAAAATGTTTTGGTTCAATCTTTTTTTTTTTTTTTTTTTTTTTGTTTTAAAAGTAATCAACGGGCAAATTTTCTATTTTTGTGCCTTTGAAATATATCGTTTTTTTTTTTTTTTTTTTTTTTTTTTTTTTTTGACTTTCCAATGACAACAAGTCTAAGTTTATGTCCACCGGTAGCGTTACTGCAAGACATGATAGTGATCCTTTCCTTGCTGCTTTTATGACCCGCCGCTTTACTTTCACTTGCTAAAGTGCGAGTGGGAAGACATTTCCACAAAAGTCCCGATTCGTCGGAATTTTAAATTTGTTCAAAAGATAGCTCTTCTTTTAAAACAAATTCTTCAAATTCATGATGGAAATCGTCGGCTACTTGTTGGTCACCACAAAGTTTCTCCCCATGAAGTCCAATTTCTCGAATTCCAAGATTAAGACACTGCAAGGGTGGAGTAAGAAATCACTTACTCATCATAGGGGAAGGTTCCGAGAAGGCCTGGTGGGATATTTTTGCTATAAATAAGCACGATGTTAGCAAATTTAACGTTTCGCTCAGTTTTGTGACCATTTTTATTTTCTTTGCTTTATGCTTGTAAAAAAAAATAATAATAATAATTAAAAAAATATGTGCGGCAGGCGCGGATAATCAGCCCGCAGATAATCGGGAGTCTACTGTGCAATATATACAAATACAGTTCACAAAACCTGCTATATCAGTTACAAAAATCTTCTTTGCAAGGTACGAAATAAAAACTTGGTTAAATATGAATAAAATATAAAACTTGTTTAAATAAAGTAAATGAAAAATATTAGATAATATAAACAAGCCCTACCATTTAGAATTATGATGGATAGAGCGAGGTCTTTTGTGATTTTGCTCTATGACGTAGTCATAACTGCCTAATTTCTTAATGATTTCCTTGTTGTGTTTATCACATTTGAGGAAGAATTTATGCGAGAATTTTAGAATTTCTGAGTCTGTAGGTTTAATCCTAAGGTCATTAGGCAGAGTGGGATTTCTTACGAACCAGAGAGCATTGGCTATGATTCTCAAGGCTTTATTTTGTATTCTTTGAATTTTCAATCTGTTCGTACCAGCAGTAGCCGCCCTCCAACTGAAATGACCCAGACTTAAATACTCGTTTCTACCTCACTTTCATAAATCGTAATTCTGAAAGCTCATTATCTCAAGAAACTTAGGTGGGAATTTAGAATGTATAGGAAAGGTTTGTTTCAAAGTAAAAGTAACTATTAAAAAATAATATAAAACCCTACACTTTTATCCGAGAAATCACAACATTGACTGAAAGTGCGATGATTATATATGCAGCTTTGTGCTACGTATCTATGCCAGCTCACTGTATTTTTGCTATAATTTTAAATAACAGCTAAAAGATTATTGAAAATGCATGGATAAATTTGCACTTAATATTTCCGCATTTATTTTCTAAGCATCAATATTATAAAAGTTTATTCAACAGTTTTGTATAACTTTATAAAACATTGCTTTAAATATACACATCTATGCTATTTTACTCTTTTTTTTTAATATAAAAGTTAAACGTTAAATTATACGCATATTCGAATGGAATTCTTTATAATTTGTAAAATTCGATCTGCCAAATAGATATAATAAGCTTTCAGCGATTTCATTGTTAATGAAATAGAACTATTTATATCAATAAAAGATGGCAAATTGTAATGACTTTTTTATTTGAAATGAGAGTTGTAAACGCTGTGGAAGTGATTTTTTAATAATTCCATGAGAATTGTTATTAATTTAATGTCAAACAAGTAGCAAACAGGACTAAGCAACTCCATTATTTGTACTATTTTTTTATCATTCAGGGCTTTGTTCTGTGAAACAGTATACAACAATTTTTAGTTAAAATATAGTAACATTATTTCATTAAAACGGTGTAAATCTTGCTCCCATGTCGAAAGCCTGTATTTGTCATTCAATTGAAGGGTTTGAAATTTAATAGAATGCTTGATAGCTGCTACATTTCTTTTTCATATAATTTTATATAGAATATAAAATTATATATATTTATATAAAATAATTTATATAATAGGCAATTATTCTATATAAATATATCTAAATCTGTAGGATGTCTCACAGATTAAATTCCTCTTTTCTACTCTCATTCAATAAGCAAATGTTGAATAATAATACAAGTACTTGTATTTTTGCGTTGCTTCATTCTCCCCCCCCCCCTCCTTAAAAGTGAAAATCTCCATTGAATTAGTTTCGCAAACTGAAATAGGTAGTAATGTATGTCTCTCAAATAACTGAAAGGAGATAAAGCACGGGATACCTGTATATATACTATATTTATCATAATTATAACATCAACAAAAAAAGAATGGTAATTTTTTTTAATTTATAATTTTTAAGTGCATATTCTTGTCATTTTGCTTTTTGTAACAAACACTACTCTCTTTGAATAAGTCCTTAAATTGAACTTTTATTCTATTTCAAATCGAAAGAGTCTTTTTTTCTTTCTTTTTTCCCTCTCTCTCTCTCTCTCTTTTTTTTTTTTTTTTTTTTTTTTTTTTTTTTTTTTTAAGACAGAGAAAGAGAGAAGGGGGATAGGGAATGTGATATTAAAAATACACACATTTAGATGCTTATATTCTTTTTCAGATTTTCGAGTTTTTATGTGATTGCATCCTGAAATTTTTTACCCAATATGATTTACTGCAGAAAACGCAGACTGTAGGTAAGTATTTTTTTTCACATCGAATAGATTAAACATACGAGGGAGGACTGGTAAATAATTTCTCGTTTTTCTTTTCCTTCCAAAAAAAATTAACTAGACGCACAACATTCAAACACAGCGAATAAGTTTGATATTCAGTATTTTTTTTAATTTTTAAAAAGAATATATTAGCCCAAAGGGACAATCTGCCCGAAAGGGCGATTTTCCCTTTTGGGCTATTATCCTATTTTGGCATTTTGCGTTGGTTCACTCGCCGTTTATAGTTTATAGTAAAACGCCGTTTGTAGTACTTCTCAAATTGTTGCCACCAAACATTAAAGCCCTGCATTATATTTAAAGAAATTAAATAATGAAGAATCTGCATGAATGTACGTATGTTTCTCGCACTGTAAAAAAACAATGGTATCTAGACACATCAAATTTTGAATAACGTAATCCTCCATCAGAATATGGGCATCTGGAAGCTCAAATTTGGAATTTCTTTTATTATCTATTTCATATTTTGTAAAACATTAAAGAAATTTTAATTAACAAACTCAACGATTTCAAAGCGAGCAACGGCAACACTGTACGGGGGAAAAAAAAAATTATCTCTAGCGCGCGAGATTGTGTATCGGAAATTCTAAAGACATGTTCTTTTTAAATCATTTTGTGATATTGCTGTTGAATTGAATTTTATGGTTTAAGTACGAAAAACATGATATTGAATAAAGGTAACACAGAAAACGTTAAAAAAAAAAAGATCCTTTGGGCGTAATTAAAAAAATCTGAATGCTTTCAGATTTATTTATTTCTTTATTTATATTCCTTTCAGGATTTTGCTCTGATTTGCCATCGGTTCAATTCGGCATCGACCAAGCGACATTGCATTACTTCACACTCAGTGCATCTGAATTTCCTCTCAACTGTTATGACATACGGAGGTGTTTTGAAATCGTCTTACTGAAAGAACGTTACAAAGTATGACAAATTTTAAAACACTTGCTTTTTTTTAGTTATATTGTCATTGTAACAGGTGACGAATTAAGCGTATGGGGCGGTGGTGCGCTAGAGGGGCGACTCCATTGCAGACACTGGTGTTTTATTTAGATTTCGCATTATCTGCATATGCAACTAAAAACATTTATTAGAAATCTATGAGAACCTGTACCAACAAATATAACAACAATTTGTAATAAATATTAAATGTATTCGAAGAAATTATTTAGAATACAAGTACAGTTGTTATCCACATTATGTGAGGATTTTGCTAGCCATCAGAGTCTGTCTAGTCAAGAGTTTTAAAGCATTCTGAATACTTGCTTAAAGCCCGTTTCCACTATTGCGAATGCGTATGCGGTTCGCCAATCAGCGAGCGAATTCACTTTGATTGACATCTGCAATCCGGTCGATGTGCGGATGAAGTTCAACAATGTTCTATCCGTATCCGTACAAGTATTGCCAATACATCGCGCGAAGCGCGACGTTTCCGGCTCATGATAAAAGGCCCAGAGGGCACATGACAGTAGTAGAGTCCGAGCGGGTAAATTAAAAGTTAGAGGCGAGAGAGAAAGGGGGTGACCATGCATCCCAGGCCAAGACAAGGCGAAAAAGCGAACAAATGGAAAAAGATCGGACAGAGCGGTGAGAAAGTGAAGCTGAACTGCAACAATGTTCAACTTCTATCCCTATGATCGGAGATCATCATTCGTTAAGTGGTGTTTCACCCGAAGGCCTTTACCACTACATGCTTATTAATCTTCTAAGGACCTGCAAAAGTTCGTTAAATTCCATAAAATGGAAGAGTCGTGCACTTGTAATAAAAGTGCAAAGTCTTCAGTAGCGAAGAAGTTGATCAAATCCCTATGTCTGCGGAAGCATTGGAGGCACGTGGTAAAAAAGAAGCAATCAGGTGCTGTCACCAAAAGCTAATGGCGGCAGAAGTAGCGATGAACGCTGGATCAGGGAAAGAATTAACAAATCCGGCATTAAACATTTTTTTCTTTTGAAATAGGTAAAAACTAATAACGTTATTTATAAATTAAATTTGATAGCCTTTTAAATATTCTACTGCATTAAAAAGTATGTTAAAATTGTATTTCTATTTATGAATATACGTTTTTCGCTAACATATATTTGTAAGCACATCTTTCACTCCGAATATATTTTAGCAGTCCGTCTGACTTCAATTGGTACGCCACTTTAAAATTATATTTTTGTAAGAAATGCCTTAGATGCTGAAGAACATACTCAGGTCAATTTTTTAGAAGATAGCACACTGAAATAAGACCAAAAAATTTAGTTTTAAGTAATCATTTACTTGATAAAGTATATAAGATAAAATTGCTAATCACGTTCGTATGATGTGGCAAAGCTGACGGCAGTGGGGTTTGCCCTTTTGGTGTCGTGAGTTCGGATCCCATACTCTTTTTCCACCCTGTCTGCAACTTTCTTAGCTCCGTGTTCCAATTTAATTTATATTTGCATTTTAAAATATATTTCTATTATTATTTGCATTGAATATAATGTTTTATCTATGCTCTTATTTATTAAAATTTTCCCTGCAAGAATTTGTTTTAAAAGTTATAATATAATACGAATTTAAAGCATACTCCCTGTGTATGTATATATATATATATATTTCGTTTTACTTGTGAATGCACATACATGTGCTGAGACTTTGGGATGTTTCCAGCTCTAAACTTTCACTTCCAATTAACATGAGACAGTATTAACGCCCTAACTATTTTTAATAAAACATTTAAAAAAATATTAAATTGATTGCTTTAAAATTCAGCCCTATCCAGCTGAAGCAAAGGTATTAATTAATCAAATATTTCCATTTTCTTTATGTTATATATATATATATAAATGCTTTTCTTTATATTTTCTTCTATAAAAAGACATATGAATTTAAAATTTATATAAATTAAAAATAATTTTTATGGATTATGAGTAAAACATAACTGTGCAGAGTGCATTTTAAAACAAACGAGATTTCTAATAAATTATCCAGCTATGACACTGAAGAAATTGATGCTAAAATTTTATATATTACCTGTTTTCTCTCCATATTTGGGTACATTTTAAAAATATACAATCTCATGTGGCAGTCAGCGTTATACAAGCATAGGGAGTTTTGTGAACCTTTCTTTATAGTTTCTGTGTATTTTTAAAATACCAACTATTTTGGAATGTATTTAACTTTGTTTTGCAGTAATAGTACGTTTTAGTTTTAATTATATATTATTTTATTAATATTTAAAGTTTCTAGACACGCAAAGAAATTGTTAAATATTACTTCAGCTTCTCTGCAATTAGTGATGTTCATAAAATGCATTGTAACCTTACTAAAAATTACTAGCGTACTTTACTTTCACAGTTCATAAGCAGAAGTTAATTACAGAGACATCTGGTGGCAATAAATGCAATCAACCACCGAACTTCCGTACGCATAAATTCAACGCAAAAATGTAAACGGTCTTCCGTCTGCTTATGCGTTTCTCCCAATGACGCTACGCGTTAGCAACGCACTAATGGAAACGGGCTTTAGTCTGGAACATTTTAGCAGATTGAATTAATCAGGCTTTTTTTATTTATCGGTTGTGAATTTACATCCTCTGATTTGTTATAGTTAAAGATGATATCAGACGGGTTGCAGAATCATGGGTTGGTCAACTCTCTAAAATGGAGAGGCTTTGACGCATTTTTGACATGATATCAGATTGCTAAATCTTTTGACACTGTTCGGGAAGTTATGGCTTTTGTTATGCTATTACTGAAATAGTTATTACTTTTGTAACGTCGGAGTATGTCGTTTCGCACCTCCTCTTGAGAGGTTGCTGGTTGGGGATAAAGAGTAGGAGACCCTCGGAACTGTCCCCGCCCCGGGATGCTCTCCATCAAAATTGGAGGCGGAGCTGAGCTAAATCGCACTGTCACAGGTAAAGGGCTCAAGGCTATTGCCAACGATAGGCGTAAACTTGCCCCGATAAATTTCGGGGCTTGGGTTGACTATAAGCCAGACAAGTGAGCATTAGCAACAACAATGTACCAGAAAGGCATCTCAGTATTAGATATGAATGCTCGTTCCCCCCCCCATACGACTAGTTAACACTACTTTTCTGTGAATAGTTAATCTGAAAACTTTTGCACCACGTTTGACCTCTTTAACACTTGGCATACGGGCAACGTATTTTTACGTTTTTTGCAGTCTGTCACTGGAGCGCGGGTCACGTAAAAATACGAATTTAGTAGATTTGTGGTGGATACCCGCTAACCACCACAAATCTAGACATTATATGGATGTTGTTTGCGTTGCTAGGCAACGCTTTGCATTTTTTCTTTCAACAAGTTACGATGACTCCGTTAGCTCAGATAAACCCCAGTGGGAACGGGCCTGAAGAGTTTTTGGGTCATCCTGGGATAATTACATGGCTAATGTTTCTGAATCCACAGCTGATGCAGTAGAGTTTTTTATAGGCAATGACTTTTTTGCATATTTAGTCGCGGAATCAAACAGGTATTATCAAAATATGAGTCAGTTTAAAATATCTCTCCCAAAAGCATGAAATGGAGAGATATTACGATTCCGGAGATGAAGACATTTTTGGGACTTATTATTTTCATGGGACAAGTTCGTAAAGACGCCCGTGACGATTATTGGTCAACTGATGCTTGCACAAATACACCGTTTTTTTAAAAAAAACTATGTCAAGGGATAGATTTCGCCAAATATGGAAGACTTGGCATTTCAATAACAATGAAGACATCACAGACGATTCTGATCGATTATTCATAGCTGATTCATACTGATCATTATTCTGATCGATTAGTAAGTCAGGCCTATGCTAAATTATTTTGTTGAAAAATTCAATAACATTTACAAACCGAAACAACAAGTATCGTTAAATGAGGGCATAATACCTTGGAGAGAACAACTGTTTTTTAGAGTTTACAACGCTGGAAAAATTATAAAATACGGCATACTCTTACAAATATTGTCTGAAAGTGACACTGGTTATATTTGCAATTTTGAAATTTATGCAGCTCAAGGATTACGTTTCATTGAAACGATACTCACAATAGTTTCGCCATATACTGATGTCTGGTGAATTGTCTGGTATGCAAATGTAGAAAAATAACACTTCTCTGACTCCAATGGAACCAATATTTTATTCCTTACGAAGTTATAGATTCTTATTTATAAGATTTATTTACATTTTACATGCCCATAGAATCGCGTGACAGAAAACCGAAGTTTGTTTACTTCGTTCTTCGCAGAGACAAGAAGGTGTTGCCATTCCACTTTAACTAAATTTAATTAGACACTTAACGGAACTGAAGCGACACTACACACCTTCTTCCTAGTGACAGCAATTATGGAAGATAGTCTTTAAAGTGACTGGGGAACTTCAAATGTCTGCCGGTTCTAGTAGTCTTGGTTTCATGATGAGTTTCTGAATTTTCTTCAGTTTCTTCAATTATTCTTGAGTGCAGGTGTTTCCCCAAGTTCCGCTTTCTTGGAATGGGTTTTGAAAATAATATCAGAATCTTGCACTAGGAAACATGGCTTTAGTCTGTCTATTGAAACTCTTTTAACTTTTCCTTGGATTTCAATATCGAAGTACTTATCCTTCTTGCTTTACAGGATACGGTCCAAGATAGACAGGCTGTAGTGACGAATTATTAATGTTGTTTGTATAGGAATACGTGAGAAACAGTTGGAAAGATGTTTAGAACAAAGACTGTTCTATTTCCATGGGTGAGTGGTAGAACTTGGCTTCATAGCTCTGTATTATTTTCTGAAGGTTTTGAGAAAATTCAGACTGTTTCATATGATACTGTTGAACTATATGTTTCATATGAGGTACTGTTGAACTGAATTCATCCTGGGTTGTAAGCTAAAGGTGTTCCGTATACAAGTTCTGCAGATGAGCAACCTAAGTCTTTCCTTGAAGGCAGATCTTATGCCTAAAAGA